AGAATCGAATAACTTTATGTATTTTTTTATTAAAATAATTCGTGTAATTTAAACATAAGGAAATCCGGAGAAGTGAAAGCATTAATGATCCAACAAAAAAACACGATTGTTTCAAACCCGCTGGAACAAGGAAACGCTTTTCGCTCGCAGTGATATAATATTTTCAGGGTCCACGGATATTATGAATATAGATGTGACGTAAGCGAAAAGAAGCGATATTAATGCAGGAACTCGGCGGTAATTGGACCCGATAAATCTTTACACGTAACGCGTCGCAGGATATCGTCGGTTCTTACCGCGGCGTGTTAATCTCCATTCCGTTCGATAACGATAATGTCGATTTCATCAGCGTAACCGCGAAAAATCGCGGCTCGCAGGAAAGAGGGGAACGCTTAACAATGATCTCATTCTTTTAATCTCGGTTTTTGGGCCCGGGTTAACCCACTTGCGTCTTCATCGTACAGCTCGAGTACAGCTCGATTTCGATCTTGATTCGGCCCCAACAATCTTTACATTTTGTCGAAGCGTGATACAATTTTTACACGATTCGTGAAATTATCAATAAAATGAATTGGACAAACCGTTATAAACAATACAGTCTATATATAGAATTAAGATGTTGACTATCGAGTGATTCATGGAGGAGATACAATTGAAGCCATGTACTCCAAAACAGAGATCAAGTTCACCAACCGAGGTTGCTAGCGAATTATTTTGTTACCAATTTTGTTGATTTGAAATTTTCGCATCGTTTTAAATCTGAGTATTTGATGTGTATTTGTACTGTATATAATGAATGATTGTACTGTATTTGTTAAATCTGAGTAAGCAGAATTCCTGTTTTGGAATTCGTGATTTTATTAATTAATTTTATTTATTAATTTCTGTCGTAATACATTTAGAGGATCGAAAAGTTAAAACATTCAAAATTGTAATAATCACAGTTAAATCCACTCAAATACTTACGTACTTATTGTCTTAAATTCTTGCAGCTAAAAGTTTAAAAGTTTTCTGTAAACAGATTCCTTTTTTTTCAAGATCAATTCAATGTTGCATAATAGTTTAGAATCCCAATTCGATATTCAACGTGTTGACACTAAACCTACCACGGTCAAAATGACCGATATTTTATTTTACGATACTACGAACTTTGGAGACTTCTTCGTGAGAAATGATTGAACAAATTATATTATTGGAACAAGTCTCATAATTAAAACTTTACAAAATCCAAATGAATTCTATCTTTTCACTCTTATGAGCCAATGCATGCTAGTCGTCATTACAGATCGGTTGGTTTAGTGTTTAAGAACGATGGACAAAAGTGAACACGCTTTTCTAAAAATCCATCCATGAAACAACGGAGATCCATCCAGTTTGAATCGTTGTGCAGGATGATGAGCTAGCTCGAAACTCTGCGCAGGGAACGGAAACCGCTAAATTGCCCCTACAGTCAATCACGATCGTTCCGTCATTGTCAGGCATATTTAGAAGTAAATCGAAACGACGTGAAATTATTTTTATTCGAATGGGTGAGTTAAAAGGTGGTCGTAGCTCCGCGGAGCGCCGCATATAGACAGCGTAGTGGAGGTTGGCATAAGTCGATGTCTGCTGGCAGAAATTCANATTAAAATAATTCGTGTAATTTAAACATAAGGAAATCCGGAGAAGTGAAAGCATTAATGATCCAACAAAAAAACACGATTGTTTCAAACCCGCTGGAACAAGGAAACGCTTTTCGCTCGCAGTGATATAATATTTTCAGGGTCCACGGATATTATGAATATAGATGTGACGTAAGCGAAAAGAAGCGATATTAATGCAGGAACTCGGCGGTAATTGGACCCGATAAATCTTTACACGTAACGCGTCGCAGGATATCGTCGGTTCTTACCGCGGCGTGTTAATCTCCATTCCGTTCGATAACGATAATGTCGATTTCATCAGCGTAACCGCGAAAAATCGCGGCTCGCAGGAAAGAGGGGAACGCTTAACAATGATCTCATTCTTTTAATCTCGGTTTTTGGGCCCGGGTTAACCCACTTGCGTCTTCATCGTACAGCTCGAGTACAGCTCGATTTCGATCTTGATTCGGCCCCAACAATCTTTACATTTTGTCGAAGCGTGATACAATTTTTACACGATTCGTGAAATTATCAATAAAATGAATTGGACAAACCGTTATAAACAATACAGTCTATATATAGAATTAAGATGTTGACTATCGAGTGATTCATGGAGGAGATACAATTGAAGCCATGTACTCCAAAACAGAGATCAAGTTCACCAACCGAGGTTGCTAGCGAATTATTTTGTTACCAATTTTGTTGATTTGAAATTTTCGCATCGTTTTAAATCTGAGTATTTGATGTGTATTTGTACTGTATATAATGAATGATTGTACTGTATTTGTTAAATCTGAGTAAGCAGAATTCCTGTTTTGGAATTCGTGATTTTATTAATTAATTTTATTTATTAATTTCTGTCGTAATACATTTAGAGGATCGAAAAGTTAAAACATTCAAAATTGTAATAATCACAGTTAAATCCACTCAAATACTTACGTACTTATTGTCTTAAATTCTTGCAGCTAAAAGTTTAAAAGTTTTCTGTAAACAGATTCCTTTTTTTTCAAGATCAATTCAATGTTGCATAATAGTTTAGAATCCCAATTCGATATTCAACGTGTTGACACTAAACCTACCACGGTCAAAATGACCGATATTTTATTTTACGATACTACGAACTTTGGAGACTTCTTCGTGAGAAATGATTGAACAAATTATATTATTGGAACAAGTCTCATAATTAAAACTTTACAAAATCCAAATGAATTCTATCTTTTCACTCTTATGAGCCAATGCATGCTAGTCGTCATTACAGATCGGTTGGTTTAGTGTTTAAGAACGATGGACAAAAGTGAACACGCTTTTCTAAAAATCCATCCATGAAACAACGGAGATCCATCCAGTTTGAATCGTTGTGCAGGATGATGAGCTAGCTCGAAACTCTGCGCAGGGAACGGAAACCGCTAAATTGCCCCTACAGTCAATCACGATCGTTCCGTCATTGTCAGGCATATTTAGAAGTAAATCGAAACGACGTGAAATTATTTTTATTCGAATGGGTGAGTTAAAAGGTGGTCGTAGCTCCGCGGAGCGCCGCATATAGACAGCGTAGTGGAGGTTGGCATAAGTCGATGTCTGCTGGCAGAAATTCAAGCGTCACCGCCAACACACGCGAACGCTCTACCATATGTACACGTCCTGCCGTCACTGACACACCGTCGGAACGAACCTCGACTGTCGTCATTGTCCTCGTAACGTCCCGTTTCCACCCACCGCGTTGTCGATTTCTTGAAACATTTCTCGGCGCACCAATATTCCTCGGGTGCCGCGGCCGCGACATCAGTTTCTTGGATCGTCGTTCACATTCCGGTCTTAATGACCAATTAATCTTTTCTCGTTTCGTGCTTCGCACTGTCGAATGGTCCCCGCAAAAAATACCGCTCCGTCTCGATCGGTGACGAATCTTAACCGCGGCCTCGATCAACCTCGCAGGAATGGTCAGCTGTTGGTTTTATTTCTTGAGGAATTCGAGCGTTAATGAGACGAATTCCGATTCTAGTCGATCAACGAGAGATTAGGATAGGAAATAGACCGTTCGAAATACAACGGTCGCTGAACCACGTCGCGACGCGGCCGGTTCGGCGAAGATTGACGTGCTACCACGCTCGCGAAACTTCGAGCTTACCGTTTTTCAAAATTGGAAGCAGATGTGTCCGATTTTGTCCCGTCCGACGACTATTCGGCCAGCTTTTCGACACTTTGCGCGATGCAATAATATCTTGTTCGCGGTTCTTCCATCTCGATTTTAGCTTCATTTAAACCTTCGCTCGGGCTGTCTTGACCCGAGCACCGAATTTTCCGTTCGATTTGAAACCCTGCAAAACAATTACCGAACTCCGCGCAGACCGCATTGTTCGCAAGAAACAAGAGTTACATACAAAACTTACGCCCTTGCGTAACAACTCTGACAATGTATCGAAATTCGATCGACGCCAACGCGTTTAAAAGAATATATTAATTGTTTTATATAAAAATTAAATTTCTCATTTAAAAGAACTCTCGTCGATCAATACAGAAATTTTCAAACGATCCAATACCGGTCCAACGATCATCTTCCGGATCGAACATACGTCGAAGACACGCGATCGATGGCTCTCGCTCGTCTGAATCTTACCGCTGATTGGTCAATTAAACGAGAAACACGTAGGAGGGCGGCTACACTCTTGAGCGGTCGTGAGAGAGTAAGGGCCGTAGGGATGGGCCTAACCGAGAAAAGGATATTTTAATTATCATCGCGGGAGAGCATGGTCTGCCTTCGGCTTTCGAGTCGGTGCTATTGATTTTGCGTTGTATTAATTGCTACCGCGTTCGATCGGACATGAAATCAGCCCCCCGGACTTGATTAGACACGTGGGGCTGCTTCTTCCTTATCGAGCATCGTCCTGCGACGAGTGAAATTGTGCGGCATTGATCGCTGCGAAATTTGAGGGTCTTCTAGAGCCTGGAGCTCTTCGGCGTTTGACAAATGTTGTGCGATCGGATCGCAAGGAACTTTAACGTTCTCGACAAGATTATCATTTTAAGTTCGTAAATTCTTAACGATTCTTCGATCCTTGGAATTTGTGGAGCGGTCGTTGAAAAGGGGTTTTGTGGAACTTGGGCCTGCGCGCTTGGCAAATGCTTGCGACTGGACCAGCTTTGCACGAAATGGCTATCCATTTAGAAAAGTTTAATCGATTATCTGATTGCAAAACGTGGCAGAAGTATTTGCTGTAATGGTACGGAAGAAAGACAGTCTCGGTAAATTGATGGCGGCGATGAAAGAGTGATTCGAGTGATTTGTGCCCTTGTTTTTCTAATTTACTTTCATTTTCTACGCTTACCTTTAAGACCGAACCGAGTAAGAACGCACCACAAGTTGTGCCTCACCCGTAGAGTATGTTTCAGGCAAGGAGCAGGGAATGCCAGCGTTCGCGCGCGGACCACAGGAAGGTGGTCCGCCGGAAATGAGTGACGAAAGGTTGGCGCATATCCTCTCGGAATCTGGCCACCTACAGATGAGGGGCGAGCACGAGGTGTCGAACGACGCGGACAGCAAAAGCCCGAGTAGGATCGGCTGTCCGAGCCCGTTCAATAAAGACAGGCTCGACAGCCAGAACAGGAGACTGAAGAAATACGAGAACGATGACATTCCGCAGGAAAAGGTAGTCAGGATCTACCAGGAGGAGCTGGCCAAGCTAATGGGCAGAAGGGTGGAGGATCTCCGTGGGCCCCGAGAATTCTCTTCCAGGTAATCCTAGTGCCAACGTGTCTGTCCGTAGCGAACCGTTGAATCTACTAGAGTAATTGCTCGGATACCATCCAAGTTTGAAGACTTTACTCTTTAACTCTCATAGGATCCTCAGAAATAGCTAAAAAATACACCGAGATGTTAGTTTGATCGTTTCAAACTCTATTTACGTTGATTGTGTTTCATTTACATTTGACACGTTCCAAGAATTCATGATTCACAGTCGATTCGTAGCACCGGCACTACTGCGAATAGTTTTCTTTTCCGAGACGACGGTGGCCCATATTAGACCACTCTTTCGCGCGCATCAAACTGTAAGACAATCCGTGTAAATTTTCAACCGAGGAGCGTACGAGGGTTAAGAGTCTCTTCTATCAATCGTCGAGCCTAAACACCAGCGTCTCGTAGATCTCGTGAGTCAGTAGGAATCGTGGCCACGTTAAACACTTCTGACGGGCTGACGTCCACGTCTAAAATTATCGAGCCACTATATCTGTTTCATTACTTAACACCCGAATGTCAGATGCTACCGCGAACACGTCCGAGCCCCGCATACGATCAGCGTGCCCCAGCTATTGATAATTATTGAGGACAGCACGAGAACTCGACTGATCGCAGCGCGATGTTTCCACACTTTTTCAGTGGCGGCCAGGGTAGTCTTCAAGGTATGGAGCGCACGCAGGACGACATCCGGATGGCGTTGGACGCGTACCATCGCGAGCTACAGAAGCTGAACCCCACACCGGGTCAGAACCCGTCGCTGACAGGATTGCCGGGACTACCAGGGCTGCCGGGACTCCTGGCGCTTCAGCAACAGGCTCTTCAGCAACACCACCTGGCGACGAACGGTGGTGGAGTCCAGGATCTGAGCCTCGGCAAGATCGACCCTAGAAATAAGATGATCAACGGTGTCTCCGAAGAGGAGAAAGAGAAGATGGAGGAGGCTATAAGACACGCGGGCAGCGCGTTCTCGTTGGTCAGGCCTAAACAGGAGACCACGGCGCCGCAATCGACCCCCAGCGGTTCCAGCGCGAGCTCTCCGCTCGGGAATTCCATTCTTCCACCTGCAATGACTCCCAGCGAGGAATTCTCTGGGGCGGCGGCCGCTAGTCCTCTGCAAAGGATGGCGTCCATCACGAATAGTCTGATCAGTCAACCGTCCACGCCTACCCATCACTCGGCCAACCAGAGGCCGCTGAAAGCTGTACTGCCACCGATCACCCAGCAACAGTTCGACATGTACAATAACTTGAATACCGAGGACATCGTCAAGAGAGTAAGCTCATCTTCTTCTTCCATCTTCTTCCCCATCCTCTTCTTCAGCCTCTTGCACTCGAACGGCGAATCTTAATGTCCGAAGCAACTTGTACGCTCCCAGATTTGTCGAAGAGACGTCGCTTATTTAACCTCTTAGGCACGACGCGCCACTGTAGTGGCTTCCGTGGATGTCATCTCTCTGAACGACGCGCCACTATAGTGGCTTTCGCGGATGCCATCTCTCTGAACGACGCACCACTATAGTGGCTTACTCTAGTAGCTCACTCGGTCATCGTTTGAATCAAATAATCGTCTTCATATGCATTGTTTCACACTTCTTTTGTCTTCACATCGATTTACAATATACAGACTTATCTTAACAATATAACTGTATCCTAACAATATACGGACAGAATATACAGACACTCTGTACAGTACATATCAGACTCTGTCGTCCAGAGAAATAGCCTCGCGCAGAATTCAGCCGTACCTAAAAGGTTAA